AACGCTCGACAACGTTTTGAATTGTTTACGTTCGAGAAAGAGCCAGCGTTGTCTGGTCTGGACCTCAAAGTAAAGTTACATATATCCGAAAATCCTCACGGTTATGCATGATGTCAACCACAGAAGAGAAATTCATTCCTCCTGTCAACCAGGCGGTAAAGAGGGAGTTAGAAGATGATGTTGATGATAAGAGAGCAGTTAGTAAGTACATTTGATGTTTGTTTACGTATGGAAATACAATTGTGCCGGCATATCATATTATGGTCATTGTTATTTGTGGTATTTCTTTCTTTAAAATGTATGATTTAGCATAGTCTGTAAGGATGTTAGGTATACGACAAATGTACACAGTTTAGGCTTTTTGTTTGGCCCAATTTCATATTCAGTTAACTGTCTTGATTTGATAGGATCTTGATTATAGTAAATATATGGATACTGATACATACAAAGTCAAAAAGGAAACTACTAAAATCAGTCCAACAAATGCTGCGTTTGGAACACCTCGACTTGCTCGTCTAGACAATTTGTTCTGGACCAGCAGGATAAGGAGGCCGTGTTCGGAACCTCCAAGGCTCTCGCTGCCCAGAATGCAACCAGCTTGAATGTAAACATTCACTTATTTACCATACGGCATAGGTTTTGTAACTTCTTTGATGAATATTTAACTTACCTGCAACTGGCAAACACTAAAATAGCCTTTGATAACATCAATAAAGGGCCATAGAATTACCCATCAATACCTTGTGGATGCCTGCAACTGTCATTGTTTACATACAAAAGCTATTGTGACGTCATTTCGTCCTGCTCGCCCACCTTTGCAGGAGGGCGAGAGGGAAGAGATGGACAACTTTTCCAGGATGAGAAAATCTACAGCCCACAAGGCCACTTTTCAAAAAGTTTACAAGGAACACATAATTATGATAGTGATATCAATAAATTCCTCTCATCTACTACCCATATACATAGAAATTATGCTGTGGTAACCTCTCCGATACCTACAGTCTTGGCCCCAATAGCATAGGAGGACATGAAAGGTACCTGGGAAATTGTGGAGTAAGATATGAACAATATCCACCTTGCAGTATACAATATAATGTCTTTTTCCATTTATTTTGTGATTAAAGTAACTTTCCTGGTATCTTTCATACTATCCCCCACCACTGGGGCTAATAATGAGGGTGTTTAAGGGTATTCCCCCAATATATATATGGATAGTAGAGGGTGAAAGGAATCCAATACTACTACTATTGTCATGATCAGTTATGCAAAGGTGTTCTGAATATTTTCCATCTACAAAAAGAGACACCAGATTTTGCTAAAATCAGTGAAAATGTACTTATCACCTATGGACCTACATTTTCTTGGTATAGTTTCAGTTTCACACTTGCCTGTAATGGATATAATGACTGTAAGTATGGCACTTTTCATCTGTAATATTATCTTCACATGTTGATGATAAGAAAGTTGTGCAACACATTACTCTGGTATAGCCTACATTACAGAAATGAAAAAAATACATACTAATGCATTATGATATCTGTGCAGGAAAAGATTAAAGTCAGAAATGAGGAAAATAGGTTGTCCACATAAGATCTGAAACCTAAGAAAAGCAAAAAAATGGAAGAAGAAGAATAGAGGGAATGTAAAATAAGTAGCTACACAGAAAAGTGACCCATTTTTTTCTAATATTTAAATTTCATTTTGCAGCAAAGAAGTCACGCCAGTGCCCTTACTTGGACACCATTAATCGTCATATGTTAGATTTTGACTTTGAGAAATTGTGCAGTGTGTCACTCTCAAGAATCAATGTGTATGCCTGTCTGGTTTGTGGGAAATACTTTCAAGGTAAGGAAAAATATTGCAATCCAGTGACATAGGATATAATATTGTTTATACATAGAGAATTTCTAAAGTGCATAATCATCAAGGAGTCAACTACAAGGCCTACTATGCCTTTTATCCCATTCCTTGCATTTTCATGAAAAAGTTTTCCTTTATTTATTTGTTATTATCATTACTAGTGTTATCATCATTGCAATTAGTTGCATTATTATTGTTACAGAATAATTATTATCAATGTTTTAATCCCAATTTTATTAACTCATTAACTACAAGTGAAGACAGACATACATCAGTGTACATTGTCCTGTGTCTGGGCAGTTGTCCGATGTGAGATCAAGTGATTTTGTGACAATAGGGATGTGGACATGAGGAGCTGTCATCTTTCTTTTGGCAATATTTCTCTTGACATCACCTATTTGCAATGTGTCAATATGGTTTTCAAAGTAGTAATAGTAATTAAGATTTTAAAAATATCTAGATTCAGGGAAGAGGGCAAACAGCTGAGGTTTGGTATGCTCAGTAGACTGATTGTCTCTGTGGTGACTAAACTTTCAAGGGACCATCTGTGTGTAAAGAAAAGAGATTTTATTTTATTTTTATTTTTTTTTATCAGTTTCATTAAAGTGAGAACAGAACCTTATTAATAAAAAAGTAATTATAAAAGAAAGAAAATGAATAGGTAATTTTATTTGTATATATTGATCAAATAGCATGAATAAAAGTAAAGTATTTATTCTCATTCAAGAATATTTCAAGTGCACCTGAAATAAATATGTGTGATGGAATGGATAATGAAACACTTATTTTTCACTACTTTGATAGTATGATAATGCTGTAGTTACTATTTACACTGGTACAGATCCATGAGTTTCTTACTGAGTGAACTAGAGTGACTGGTTTCTCACTTGGTCTTATATATGCATTTTAAGCTGAAGGAGGAAGTTTTACTAACCTCTCAAAGTCCCTTAAATTTCATGCTTGATAATGCCCTATTATAAAGATAATATCTATATATGTCAACGACAATATATAGAAGTATCAGTAATAGCAAAATAGATAACTAAGGTATGATTATGACTCATAAAAAATATATACTCCAATATTATATAAGGATTAACATAATTACTAACTACCATGCCCATGACGTACTAGGTGACCTATGACATGTCTATTTGTTTCTTATATAGGACTATAGAATACTTGTTTTTGAGTCTCTGACAATATACAGTTTATCAATGTACTGACACCACCACCACCACCACCACCACCACCACCACCACCACCACAAACCACACCACACCACCACCCACAAACACCACACAAACCACCACCACAAACCACCACCACAAACCACCACCACAAACCACCACCACAAACCACCTCCACAAACCACCACCACAAACCACCACACAAACCCACCACAAACCACACCACAAACCACCACCACAAACCACCGCATCATCATCATCATCATCATCATCATCATCATCATCTCAAGCATCATCATCATCATCATCATCATCATCATCATCATCATCTTGATGTAGATATTTTTATGAATTTACATAAATGATTTTATTTTACTTTTTAACCATAGGACGTGGACCCAATACACACGCATATACCCACAGTGTGTCAGATGGTCATCATGTGTACCTCAATTTGCAGACTCTACGATTTTACTGCTTACCCGACAACTATGAGATTATTGGCAAGTACTATACCTTCAGCTGTTACCAACAGAATCAAAAATTATATTTATTGTCATTATTCAATTCTGTTCTCATTGAAAAACATTGTTTTAGAGTCATTATTCTGAAATTTCATTTTTGATCAAATTGATCTTTGAACTACACCTGTTGTGGTGATTTTCAATTTTATACCACACTAAATATTTAATTTTTTATTTTGTACATAGTACGTTAATGCAGAAACTGTAAAGTGCTTCACAACGCAATATTTCTGTTAAGTAACTACTATGAACTTGCATTGAGATAATAATTTAATCCTAATTTCAGATTCATCTCTTAATGACATTATATATGTTGTGAATCCAACCTTCACAAAGGAATACATTGCAAAGAAAGTAAACCAGAGTAAGATGAGCAGAGCATATGATGGTACTCTTTATCTTCCTGGCATTGTGGGCTTGAACAATATCAAGGCTAATGATTATTGTAATGTAGTATTACAGGTAAGGAAGTGCTCAAAATCATCTATTCCCATATGTCTATGTGTAAGTGTGTATGTACACACATGCATACTTGCCTGTTTACCGGCATTTGTGAACAAGTATATAGCTGTCAAAAAATTCCAGAGTTGTTGTATTGTAATGTGTGCCCACCAGTTTTATAATAAACATGTTTTCTTTCCTTGAACTATGTAAAATTTGATACACAATTGACAATACATACTATATTTTAGTTATCTTTGAAACTAAATTTGAATAGCTTGTGAAGGTTTAATGATTGCATAGTACTTGGGTATTGGTTCAAATAAGTAGGAAATTGCTGACAATGTAAACCATAATGTTTATAACAAGTGATGTTACATCTGTTGCTAGGACCTATTTCATCCAAACCTTTAGATTGTGTGCAATTTCTGATGGAAATTGTTTGGAGCTGATACCTTGTTCTACTTTGTAATATATTTTTTCGTATTTTGCAGGCTTTGTCAAATATCACACCTCTAAGAAACTACTTCCTAGATCCCAATAACTACAGCCACATTCACCATGCACCAGGTACTAAGGGACTGGCAATGTTTCCTCTCATTACAAGATTTGGTGAATTGGTTAGGAAGTTATGGAACCCAAGGAATTTCAAGGCTCATGTTTCTCCTCATGAAATGTTACAAGTAAGTTGCATATCTTCTGCACATTAGATGCAGAAGGGTTACATGATTTAGACCATGATTTTCATTTTTTAGGTAGAAGGGTTGTTATGGTCTTGTGTAAGTACCCATAAAAGGACATTTTCAACTAATTTACAAACAAAAATTATCTTGTCTATAGTTATAGAGTGATAATGGGAATGTTTTCTTTTCTCTAATTGTAAATTTTGCCCTCAGTTACAATGGAGTAATGACAATATTTCTTCTTCCTTTTAGAGAATGTAGTCATAGCAAAGAAAAAAATAGAAGAAAAAAGATTAATCTTGTCAACTTCAAAAGGTTTCATGATTGTGCACAGGTATTCAAGCAAACTTTGCATGTGACAATTATTTTGTTGAGTTTAAGTTTTAATCCACTTGGGACGGGTGTCCCACATATGAGACACCTGGAAAAATAAACATTACCGGGCATCCCACAGGTGCGACGCTAGATCGGAGCTTGCGCTCTGATTTTGTTGCCCAGAAACCATTATTTTTGGCTTGAAAATGTACCGATGCTAGTGGATTAAGACTATGATTATTTTTTGCTGTTCTTGATAGTAGAACTGTAAAATTATTCACAGTCAGTTTGGTCTTTATTCTCTCTAACAAGAATTTCTCTATCGAGTTATTATTTCTCATTACTTCCCCCCACTCACTGTGTCAGTTTTCACTCTTAAACTTCTGAACAAAAGATCCACTCTTTCAGGCAGTAGTATCATGCAGTAGAAAGAAGTTCCAGTTCACAGTACAAGGTGATGCTATTCAGATTCTATCCTGGATATTGAACTCCATGCACCTTGGTCTGAAAACACCAAAACGTAAAAGCACAATCATTTACCGCTGTTTTAGAGGGACCATGAACATCTACTCACAGAAGGTAACAATTTAGGTCTACAAGTAGTATTGACATATGTATTTTGTAAAATAATTATTGGTGTAAAGTTTCAAATTTTTAAGGATAATCCTTTTTATCAAAATATTCAATACTGGAAATTTGTATGATAAAATTCTGGATTTTGATAATTTGTACATCAAAATTTTTCTCCTTAAAATTGTTTTTTTTTTGCTTATGGTAGATATATTTTATTCTTTCTTCAAGTCTCACCTATAATGAATGGACAAATCAACTGAGTTTCTCTATTAATCCCTTGGATCCAGTTGCATGACGGAAATTATGGAGCTGAAAACCCCGGGCAATGGGTTACAGGCGTACGGCGGGTGGGCCGGGCACGCATGAATGCCTCCCCTTTGAAAAATTATTTTGTGCAAACTTTTATAGCTTTATCATCATTTTCCAATGTCCATATTTGTCTTTAGATTTGCTTTATCCAGATGGTAATTACTTATTTTCCTTGCACCAACTCCATATCATCTCTCTATGTAGTAAATAGCTCAGTGCAAGAAAAAAAATATGGAACATTTGGTTATTTATATCATATATTTAATTTTTTTTTGTAATATTCAATTTTATGTAATACAGCCTGTGCTGCCAGTCACAGCAGCCAGGAATACCGTGCGCAGCATGGATATGGCGTCCTCCCTGGAGCCAGCACTCTTCCAGTCACTGCTTATGCATGTTACATTCCACATTTGTTTATCGATGAGGATAATGCTAAAGCCCCTTTCTAAGTGCCAAATGAGTCAAATCACTCCCCTAAGAGGTTTGTGCACTCATGGCGAGTCTATTCTGTCACCCTGGCGTTCACTCTTGAAGCTTTGTTGGTGTCACCCGGGTTGCGGTTCTTTTGCCCGGTTGATGGCATCATCACGTCACCTGGGTAGGTGCCCAAGTTTTTCCTTGATGCGATCGCAACGTCATCCAGGTCCAGGGGATTAAAAGAGATGGAAAGAACCTAAAGAGGCTTTAGTTTTCTTTTGTTATGCATATAATGTATTCATCATTGCTAATTTTATTTGGTAGATCCTTCCTGTTGAGATAGATGAGAAAGAGAGAAACCGGCTCTTGAAGTGTGAGGAGTACCAGGAAAAGATGGAGGAAAGCCCTTTCCTTTACCTTACATGTGATTTGCCTCAGCCTCCATTATTTAAAGATGAAAAGAAGGAGAATATCATACCACAGGTACATATAGAAATATATATTGTTGAAATCCAAATAGCCTTTTCTTTAGAATTGGAACTGATATTTTTTCAGTCAGCTCATTGTTACATGTAATATGCATAGTTAAAAATTTTTGGTTTGGATCAGTACTGTTATTTAATCTTTTTATTTGATGATACTATTTCAAAAAGTGTTTTATCATATATCTTTTAGGTGTCATTTCCACTAACACATTAATTGATTTTGAACAGTTTTTAGTTTTCTTTCATCACTTTTGATTAGTTGAAAAAAGCAGGTATTATTTGATTAACAACCTAGGTATTTTTTCTACATATTTCTTAAAACAGTATCACATTACCACATGACCTAAAGGCAACTGCTGAAGTTAAGATATAGAAATAAAGTTTCAGCTGGGTAGGATCTCAAGATGAAGCTTAATTACAAACAAAAGTCAAATATTTGTGATGATGTGTGCTAACTCCAAATATTTTTTCAGGTGAGCTTGTATGTCCTCCTGAGTAAGTTTGATGGCAAAACTGGAAAGGAATATCAGACCTACAAAGAAAACATCTTGAAGAAATTCCAGCTGACTGGCTTGCCCCCATACCTCATCCTGTACAATAAGGTGAGACAGTATTTCCCGTGTGAGAACCTTTAAACTGTGATTTCATTACACAGACTCAGCCATAGTCCCTGTGTTACTTAGGGCTATCCTGCCTCCCATACTGGGCATATTACAAAATTTACACTCCCCTAAGCTATGGGTATCCAGGTTGGCTTCAAAATGTGTTAATGCCGGTATATTTTGTAACCAAAAATAAAATTTTAAATGGCCTTTTAAAGATTGGTAACTCTCTGAGAGTGCATGTCGTTTACTCTTATGCTGAAATTAGTGTTTCATTATATATTTAATGTTTCAGGATAAAAAGGATTTGATAAAAAAGTAAGAAAAAGAAAAACTATATGCCTGTATATACCGTATATACATATTCTCACTAATATGAGTATCTTTTATATATTGTTATTATGATGATATTAGCTTTTTATTGATATATGTACCCTCTTATTAGGAACTGTGCCCATACCTGTTGAGCACTCACTGAGTTGTGAATTTTTTCTCACCTTTAGGTAGATGGATTTTGGAAGAGAGTGTAGATTAATGATGCATACGTACTGGCCAAGGATTAGCAAATTATTTCCTTGACATATTCAAAGTTTTGAATCAGTAAGTGGGGAAAGTTTGGATAGAGATATGAACTGACAGCTGGATCATGAAGAACCCGTGTCATTATCATTAGCTGAACTATAGGATAATGAACTGCTTTACTAGATAAACTACTGTGAACAAACTACATGTTCACAATTGTTGCCAGCCTGTGGGATGTCATCCAGATTTATTATTCAGTCATAAATTATAGGTTTTTATAGCCCTTAAGTTTGTGGGCAAAGGATGTGCAAGATCTGGCTTCTCAACTTTCCTAAACTGCATCAAGGTCTGGTCAAAAGGCTGATAATCCCAGATCTGAGTCAAATTTTTAATTTAAAAGTTTATGAAACTGCAGCTTTACTCATTGCTTACATTGTTACAGAAATGGATTTTGTCATTCAGTTTAGGATATTAATTATGTTTTTAGGGAGAGAATGGCATTTATTAATTCTTATTATTCATTCATTCATACTTTGATAAATTAGATATCTTCAAGATCTTAAATTATTTGCATATACACAGAATGCTGTATAGTTCTAGAAGAAACGACTAATGTATCCATTTTCATTTTCAGCGTTTTACAAAGAACACTTTTTACATTGAGAAGAATCCTACAATTGTCAATTTCCCAGTGAAGAATATTGATTTGACAGAGTATTTGACAGAGGAGGTAAGATAAAATCTGATTTTTAAAATATATAATCCATAATTTTTATATTATCAAAAATGTTATTTTCCTCTATTTTGCTAATTGTATTGCACTGTACATTAGTTCATGACATATATCAATCCTTTCTTTACAGTAATTACTGCTAATGTTTTATATCATTCTCATTTCCATTTAGGACTTATTGCTACGATCTGCATTGCATGCAAATATTAATCTTTTCAAACTGATTTATGTTCTCAGTGATTATTCACAAGAATATATTAGTATGTAGCTTAAGGATAAAGGTTTAAGCAAACTTAACATTGTAGAAGAGTAGAGTGAAATTTTTAACATTTACTTATTTCACTTAGAAAAATTAAATGTCATGGAAAATGAACAAACTTAATGGGAAATCCTTGTGTAACACTAAAATCTGATTATACCATTAGAAAAGCAATAGTAATATACCCAAAATTATGATATAAAATGATGATTTGTGTGGTATTGGCAAATATTTCTAAAAAAATTATGTTTAAGGGTAAAATTAAACGAATTCTCAGAATAAATTCTTGTCTTTTTCAATTTTATTGTAGTGCATATCCATTTTCTCACATTTCCTAATGGTTACTTACACAAGGTAGGTTTGGGGAGGGAAAATATATGGCCTGCAAATAATGCACTCTGTTAATGTTGAAAATCTTACATTTCTAATGTCTCTTAGTGTGTAAGTTCTGTAGTCTAAGGAACTCAGACATTATGTATTAAATGCATAAAAAGAAAGTTTGTAAAATGAATAGTCAGTAATACTCATATAAATTTTAACAGATTTTATTAAGTAAACTCATAGTTGTCTGACAATCTCAGTTACTTTGTCAGTTCCAAAGATGACAAGATAGATATAAAACAAAATGAATTTTGCATTTAGGTTCTCAATATTCGTATATGCAGATTCATTATACGTGTTATTGTTGTAGCTGGTTTTTGCCAAAACCAGCTCTGATGAAGAAATTATTTTTTAACCTGAGAATTTCAGTTTTCAACTAGTATGTTTAACATGTTGGTGCTGTGATTTTGTTTGATTAACTTTTTTTGCACATAGATTGTTTTAGAAACTATTTGATACCAAGAAGTCAAGAACTAGTTCTACTTGACTTCACCTATTCCATTCCTTGAATTTTTTTAAAGAAAAGAAAAGAAAAGAAAGAATAAATATATATATCTAAAATATATGTATAGTTATAGCTATCATTATTGTAGTAATGTTAAACAGGTAAGATCACGTAGGCCTATTAACCCATTGGATCTGGTTCTGTCACAAAAATCACGGTGCCCAAAATACGGCAGTTGGTTAAATAAGTAGCGAACATCCCGGGTGTGCAGTGTGTAGTCCAGGTGCGCACAAACACCCATGAGTGGTTACAAGACTGTGTTTCCCCTTGTAAAGTTATTTTATGTAAACTTTTTATAGCCTTTTTGCCATTCTTCAATGTCCATAGCTGTCTTTTGCTTGGCTTTATCCAGATGGTAATAGTGGTCAGTAAAACAGTGGTGCAGCATAGAAATGGAGTCCTTTCTAGTGCTGGCGCTCTTCCAGTCATGGTTTATGCACGTTACAATCTGCATTCATTTATTGATGGGAATATGCTAAAGCCCCCTTCTAAGCGCCCAATGAGTCAAATCACACTCCAAGGAATTTGTGCACCTGTGGTGAGTTTTCCATCACCCTGGCCTTCGCTCATGATGGCAAATTCCCGTCACCTGATCAACGGCCATTTTGCCTGATGATGGCTTGTTCATGTAACCCGGCCCTCAACCCAAATTTTCCATGACGGGACTATAACATCATCTGGATCGTAGGGGTTAAGTGACTCTTTGGTAAATGTTTGTGTGTGTTAACAGAATTAATCAAACCAAACCACAGTGGACAGTTTATTTACCCTGCACCTGTGGGTCAAATTACAAAATAAATAAACTTTCTTGAGAACAGCATAACTAATATGATGTAAAACTATTTTGTGTTTCACTGATAAACAGAATAATTTATTTGTATATTATTTTTTATGCTTTCAGGTAAAGCAAAAACACCCAGAACCCATTTATGATTTAGTGGCAAATATTGTGCATGATGGTGAGCCAGAGGCAGGAACCTACAGATGTCACATACTCCACAAGGTATGACAAGCTTCTATTCCATATTATGATTACTTCTCTATATCTCGTGGTATTAGTAATGTTAATGACATTATGATAATTATAATGTCAATAATAAAAATAACAGCATTGATATTGAAAGCATTGATAAAACAAAATTTTTTCCTAAAAAGTCATGGAAAGGGGAAATTAGGTCAGTTCACTTGGTCTGTTAATTGACTCCTTGTTGGCTGAGTTTTTGTGGAGCAGTCTATGTGTAGAGACATTTTGCTAAAGAAAACAAAAGGAATATTACATTTTCCTGGTGGCATGGGAATAAAGATTCGGAAAAGAGAATCACAGCAAAAAGAAAGATAAATATAAAAAAGGGGAAGAAAAGTAGAATTAAATTAATTCATTATTTACTGGAATCAATAAGGTGTAAACCTTACTGGGAGGTAAGGGAGCAATAGGAGTGTAGGTACATTGGTTTGGGCATTATTGGAGATGCACATTTCAGTACAAGAAACTTGATTCTGACCTCATTCCCCCTACCATGACCATACCAGGACATCATTTGGATTTTGTTTTGTATGATTGACAATTAAATAATGTTTGGGCCATAAACAGTCCTGTATTGATATGTATAAAGAAGAACAGTTGGCCTTGACAACTGAGCTTCTATTTACCCCCTCCCTAGATGCCTTCTGTTCCCTCCTGTCTTCTCACTCTGTCATCCAAGTCTGTCCTTCACTTGTGTGATAAAAAGTGCTATGGAAGTGTTTGTGTGATATTCATGAATGTCTCCTTTAGTCTTATATCTAATATTTTATTGTTTTTAGTGTTTATTTACATTTTACTTTTAAGTGTTAGTCAGTATATTTCAATAGTATTTGTGTAATCTTAGATAAGCCAAGAGACAAAATCCATACCGTTTTATATATGGAATGTTTATATTCATAGGAACATTAAAGTCTTTTTAAAGTATATCCCTGTACATATACTATTATAGGAAATACATTTTAAATCACACAGTTTATCATGTGGTCAGTATGTATTTGGCATTATACAAAAAATAATATAAAATGAAAAAACACTTTTGATAAATGTTACCTTGACTTTGAATTCAGTTCAATAGAGGGTGGAGAGGGAGGGCATGGGGTAGTTGGGGTTTGCACACAGTCAGCTGCTGAAGTAGCTGTAGCTCCTGAACCCTGGTTCAGGAGCTACAAGCTAAACAAGCAAACAACTGTTTGGGATACACAACTTGGAGCTGGCTGACTGTATACAGCACGAATCCTTACCAGCTGGCATTTAGGCTCGACTAGCTGTGGCAAGAATAGATGCACAACATCAGTATTGGGTTAAAACTACAGAATATTTGACTTGCAAAAAAGAGGAAAAAAGGAATATGATGGTTCATAATTCCTGATAGGAGAGGTTTCACTTATATTTATATAGTGTTTGAAAGGTGGAGCTACTGTCTACAGTTTCAGCTGAACTCTACTCACTTTTCAGAATAGCGTGTTTTTTACTTCCCTCCTAATACCTTGCTCATTGTCGTCATGGGAGGGCTTAGGAGACGAGGACTGAGACCTAATGTAGGGGATCACCCCTACCTTGGGCCTAGCCCTCACCTCAACTAATTTTGCTTGGTCTTCTCTTCTTTCCTCTTCCGTATCTTCTTTATTCCCTTCTTCTATCCGATTCCTAAGGTGTGAGAGCTGTGCTTAGTGGATGAAAAGCTGGCTTTGTGTCATTCATGAACGGCTTCCGGGAGCCATGGGCATGGTATACCCTTGGTTAATTGCCTAGCCCTTACCCCTTATGGGGACTCTGAGGGGTAAACAGTTTCTTTTCCCCATTTTATTTAGGCTCACCATGGCTAATAATGAAGATTCTTTACCCTTAGTAAGGGTAAAGGGACAAGCATTAAGGCTTGCCCCTTCATCAACTAGCCTATCTGAATTTGATTTTGATGGTTTTCAGACCCCCATTTGACCACGGCTCCGACCACTGATACTTATATCCCCTCTTCGATGCTTACAAACAACACTCACCATTCCAAAACACCCACCCAGGTTATTACTCTACTTCCAGAAACTTCCCCCCACCACTACCACTACCACTCCACACCACCCCATCTTCCTCTCGCCCTCGTCCTTCTACAGCCTCTGCCTCTGCAAACCTTCTGAGTACTCTCTTTAGCCCAGCCATATGGGATTGATTCTTTGTGATTCCCCCCACAGCCCCCTATTCTGAGAATACCCTTATCTTTCAGCAGTGCCTCCATAAACAAGTAGGCAAGGTTACCTTTTGCAGTCACTCTTATCATTCACGCCTTGTCACAGTTACATCTGAATCCCAAGCTCGTGCACTATCTACCCTAACTGACCTTACTGGCAAACCCTCACCCCGCTCTTAATACTAGTACTGGAACTGTTTTTACTGCCCTAAATGCTTGTCCTGTCTACAACAAAGACTGTTCAGGCTATGAAAATGACCTACTTTCCTGCCTTGCTGAATATGATGCAGTGGCAGTACAGTGTTGCACTATTCCTCCCAGAGGTCGGCTTAAGTCCCATGTCAATATTGCCAAGATTAACTTCCATAGACAAGACCTCCCCAATGAGGTTTATATAGGTGGATTGTCTTATCATGCCCAATAATATTGATCCCTTCCTCATCAATGTCAGAAATGTTGGCGTTTTTACTACCCAGCCAACCATTGTCACTCCACAGCATGCTGCTCTCTGTGTGCTCAACCTGGTCATGACCGTGACCTTTCAAATTGCCCTGCTCAGTCACATACGTGTGCCAGTTGTGGAGACTCCCATAATGTATTTTATAGGACCTGCCCTGCCTATATGCTTGAATGTGAGGTAGCTGTCCTCAGATTTAAACTAGGCCTCACTCTACATGAGACCAGACAGGAAGTACGACAACAAGGTTTTTCTCTCTCAACTTATTCCAAAACAGTTCTTCGCTCTGATTCTCCACCATCTTAACAAGATATTTCTAGATCTCCCCAGGTATCTTTCCCCTATACCCTAAACCTACGTCCTATGTCTACTCACCCTATCCCCCAGTCAAATTAATTTCCATTATAAATCCAGATACTCCAATCTTTACCACTTCCCTGATACCTACCCCTCCTCCTCATTTTATTTGTTGTACCAGGCAACCTAAACATTCCACTCCACCCTCTACTACTACATTCTCTCCTACACCTTCCTCTTCTTCTGTTCCCCAGATATCTATCTCCTCTTCTCCTCCTCATAAGAAAACCTTTGTTTCTCAGTCCTCTTCACCCAACTCCCCTCCAGAAAACCTTGAAGACATCCAAAATTTCCTGAAAATGACCTAAAGGAACACTCCACTCCTTTATCCAGACCCATTCCCTCTGTTCCTACTCCTTCTACATTTGAAGTATTTGCAGATATCCATCCTCCTCCTCCTCAAATTCCCTCCACCTCCTTCCTCCTACACCCTCCCAACATACCCCACCCTCTCTCCTGCTCCCACTTGAATACTCACACAAATTCTCTTTATCACAACAGTGTCCTTCTCCAGACCCCTCCCCTCCAGACATTCTTCCTGATACTTCACCACCTCCCCCAGTCCCCCTTTCTCATCCCCTGGATTCTTCTCCTACTTCTCCAACAGCCACCTCTGTTATATGTGAACAATGTCCCTATTCCTTTCCCAGTCATAGATACACTGCAGTTCACTCATTTGCTCTACCCCCTTATATTTCCCTGCCCCTTTCCAAAGTACTCATCCTC